AAAATAGGCTGGATACATATTTTTCGCCTATAAGTATGCTTTCGAGATTACCAGTGTTATTATCATTCTAAACGAAATAGGATGAATACATTTCACAGGGTAGATACATCTCATGTATATGATCTACTCGTAGCCACGAAAACCTCCATATAAACGAAAATACAAGACAGGTCATTGTTAGGTGCGCTTTCTTGATTAAAAGATTTCTTTCTTTCTTAATTATCTATGTAAGTATTAATTTATCTTACTATGTTACTTATTTAGTTTATTTTATTTAATAAGCTTAGCATTACTAAATTATGCTGCTTGGGAAAAACTTTTTTTTCAGCTTATTATGTGCATATATCACCTCATCATCAACAACAGCAAACTCGACTTCAAATCTCTAATAATCATATGGCTATGCCTTCTATTGATTCTTATCAACGACATCCTCAGTCAACCCTGCTTATTCCAGGCTCTAGTGTGCTTAATGATTCTACCTCTTTAACGCCGCACCAACAACAGGACTACGATAAATTCCAATTGACGAATATCTCAGCTCATGATACCTCAATATTAGTAGGAAATATTACAGATATAGCCACTCTTGCTGATTCTGATCGAAGTTTTTTAGTCGGAATCAGTCAGCAGGCTCATTCTTCAACCTCGTCCTCTGCCTCTTCTTCAGTTGCCACCTCTGTCTCCAGACAACTCGAGCATCAGGCTCGATCTCCACATGACCACTATTCTTGTCGCCAGGTTAATATCATATTTTAATGTACATATTTTCAGCATTCATTAATTATCTGCTAAACATATTTTCAAATTGTATCTGTTTCTGGCAGCATATTCCACTCGCTTGCCTAATGGTTTGTTTTTGCGTTTCTGCCTATGTGAGCCTCATTTGTTATATCTTAAACGCGCTTCATAGACAATCTCGTGCTTTGCTTTCCCTTATGCTCACCAACCAATGAAATTTTGATAGCTGCTACAGCTAAAGCTATGTGTTTTTTTATAGGGGAGGTAACTAAATTTGTCTCTTAAATCACCTTTTTTAGATAAACCATCCAGTTGGCAATGTCGACCCCGTTCTTGCTTCAAACCAAATAGACGATGCAGTTACTTCGATATCAATGGTTAACCACGCTCCGCGCTCTCGCCAAGGCCATTCTCCTCCTGCCTTGTCGGTTTCATCATCTGGCCACATTTCGCCTCCCTCTGATGACCAGACCAATGACAGTGCAACCATCGGATTAGCTGAAAACCAACCCGAAGTTATTGAAGTAGGAACGATCGTCAGCGACACCGGTGCCACAGTTGGCACAACCGAATCTAGACGTGACGAAGTAGATGACGAAGATGAGGAAGACGAGAGGAATGGAAACGAAGGGTTAATTCCTACCGTTTCCTTGGTCTCTCATATTGATGGTCAGTTTGCTGCTCGTCACAACTCATCTGAAGATAATTTGCAAAATGGAATTAGCGTTTCCGTTGGCCAGATCCCATCTGGTATACCAGTTGATTCAGATTCATCGAATATTTTCCCAATTGTTATACATGCTTCTACTTGCGACCATTTGGCGTCTGCGCCGACAAGGGTGTTTATGACCGAGTCCGGTGAAATTGAATCCGCTTCCTCGAGGCCTAGGCCTGCAGATCTTAGTCAAACTCTGCCAATGACTCCTGTTAAGTTGTTTTCATCTTCCGGTCATCATTCAACTAACGAGATCACAGCTTCGCTTCCCTCAGCTGCATCATATGAAGCTAAGGCCCACCAATGCCTCCGGAGGGCGTTCGTATGTGCGATGTCAGCTATAAAGAAGCTTCATTTATCTCAGGTACGTCTAATTTTGTAGAATGAATTAATTAAATAGTTTATCTAAATTTACTTGAAATGCCTTCCTAAGCACTATTTCACCATTCACCTTGTCTGAATAACTTCTATACGAACACACTAGAGAATGAATTCAAGATGTTATTTTAGCATTTAACACCAAGCACAATTTTATGTCAGATTCGCACTTTAGTGGCATGGGAAAGAAAAATTGGGAGTTTTTAATTTATGCCCTATTTGAGGTAAATGAGGATGGACAGCTACTCTTCTTAGACGTAAAGAATATTTGCTTCGAGTAGACCAGTAAAAAAGTTTTATTCAGAAAGAAGTCCTATGCAAGAGTAATCCTAAAATTTCAATTATCTCACTTAAATATGGAAGATTAGGATACTCATAAGTATTATCTCTTGTTGGATTAATTAGACTTAATGAATCATGATGAGCAAATAAAAAGCTCTGTGTTCTGAAATTAAAATAAGGGAGACATGAAAAAAAGATTTATATGCTTACACTGACATGCCCGAACGCTGAGGACACTCTTAATATAGTGAAACATTCCTATCTAAATAGCCTGAACTAGTAAGCAAACTGTAGTATTTGGGAGTTCAATGATTTAAGTACAGGGACTGTGACTAAGAATCATATGAGAGAAATGGAAAGCATAATCAATATAATAATTAAATAATAGTAGCTATTGAATAGAATTTGTTTAACTTTGTTTTCGTAACTTGGTCATATTGGTAGGAAGACCTAGACAAACGCTCCTAGCTCGACGTTCATAGTATGCATTACTTCCAGAGTCGAATAGTGGACGTGGTACATGCCCAGACGTTTCGCCGACATTGTCAATAAGCATTGCCAGACCACAATAAAACTCGTCAAAGGGACAAGTGAAGCCGATCCTTTGACCAATTGTCTGCCAAACAATTGTGGTATCTCTTCTTTCGCTCTGGGCTAATCACCAATCCTATAGCCTCGTATCACCCCTTCACTATCACAATTTATTACTTGCTTATTTAAATGAGGCATCGTTTGCCTTTTTGAGTGGATATCATGAGAACTCTCTACACTGGCATTCTCACCCACCATCACCCTTGTGCAGGGAATGTTGATCAGTTTTCCATAATGTCACGCAGTCTTCCCTCCATAGGTCTTAACAGAGTCTCCCTCTTTTCCCGTTGGATCCGTTTGCTATCTCCCTGGTTCCAGTATTCCACTCGACCCCTGCCACTTAATCTTTTCTACTTAAGGCGTTATTTCCCACATTCTGCCACTGGGAGACTAACTTGAGGTTAAAACCCATGAGTAATTCCTATGGTCAAGCCTTTGCTTCATAGACCATGCCTATGGTCAAACAGGCTACTGTCAGTCAACTAGCTCTAGTCTCCATCGCGTCTATCCCTAATACCACGTCTATGTTTTGCTATGCCCTAGTCTTTTGTGTGCCAACGCACAAATGGTGTGACACTGCTTGTTTTGATTAGGTTCGTTGTTGAATCACAACATTTGTGGGTTGGGACACAAGTTCATATGACTCCATAGAGCTGGTATTAAGGATATAAACAGGACTAGAACCAATTGGTTGACAGTAGACCTGTTTGATCAGAGACGTGTTCTGTGAAGCAACGACTTGACTATGAGAATTAGTCAGGGGCTTTAGCCTCAATTTAGTCTCCCGGAGTCAGAGTGTGGGAAATAACGCCTCGAGTAGCACAGATGGGGTGGTAAAGGTCGAATCAAATACTTGAACCAGGGAGGTAGTAGACGGATACCACGGGGCAAGAGGGAGACTCTTTTAAGACCTATGGAATGAGGACTGCGTAAGAATATGGCAGAATGATCAACATTCCCAGTACAAAGATGAATGGGTTAGAAAGCCAGCTTGGGGTGTGGAGAGTTATATCACATTCAAATATAAAAGTAATAAATTGTGATAGTGAAGGGATGATATGAGGGTATAGGATAGGTGATTAGCCGAGAGCGGAAGGAGAGATACCACGATTGTTTGGCAGACATTTGGTCAAAGGATCCGCTTCAATTGTCACTTTGACGAGTTGTATTGTGATTCTAAGCCTGGCAATACCAAGAATGACAATACTCACTTACGATGCCGGCGAAACGCCTTGGAATGTACCACATCCACGTTCCGACTGCTAATTATCATGAATACTATGGACTCCGGACTAGATCCGTTCCTCTAGGTATTCCTACCAACATGACCATGTTGCGACAACAAGGTAAAATAACTTCTGCACAATGAAAGGATACTGCGATCATACAAAATGACACGCCATCTTGGTCTCCTTACCTTCTTATTAGCTATTCCTCAGAATCAATGCAGAAGTCTGAAGTTGCATTGATCTGCTACAACTGTAACTCACGCACAAGTAAATCGAATACCAGTTAAGCAGTTGGCATTCTTTTTCAAATAAGTCTAATGAACGGGAGATTGGATGAAATGAAAGCCAGCAAGAATTTCACTCAGATGAATTTCGAAGGGACAAAAGAAAGGAGTCTTCTGGGTCAAGGAAATCATTCGAACACTAGGAATAGACATAGCTAGGAAAAGGATAGTAATAAAGAATAACATAACTAAATCAAGAGTAGGCGATTGCAATGAGGAAAAGGGAAATTGATCTGGTTTGAATAGCTAGCAGAGGATGGTCCTCCTGGGGACACTTGTATGAATCGAATATTCAATGAATTTAACGAAGTTGGACCCCATATCTGGGTTTGACTGCTAATGAGATCTAATGAGAGTTTTATACATAAAATATAAG